TGGTTTCTAAATATGAGGAAATTTTCCAGATATTTTTCTGTTAGTGATTTTAATCTAATCCCATTTTTGTGAGGAAACACGCTTCAGGTGCCATGAAACCTTTTTAACAATGTAAAGTACTTTTATGACCTAAAAATGGTATGTCTTGGTAAAAGTGCTTTGCGAAGTTAGAAAAAATATACACTTTGTTGTTTTCTAGGAGAGTGTTCTATGAATGTCAATTAGGTCAAATTGGATGACACTGTGCTTTCAATCTATACTATGATTTTTTTGTCCACTTGTTCTCTCAATTATTTAGAGAGAAGTATGGAAATCTATAATTATAATTTTCAATTTGTTTATTTTCCCTACAATTCTATTAGTGTTTGTTGAATGTACTTTGAAGCTTCCTTCTTAGGTATATAGATAATTAAAATTGTTATTTGTTTTTAATAAACAGCTCCTTTATTACTGTGGAGTGACCTTATTTATCCCTGGTAATATTCATTGCCCCACCTGATATTAACGTAATCACTTCACTTTCTTTTTATTACTGTTAGAATAATATATTCTCCTTACTGTTTTGCTCTAACCTCTGTCTTTCTACTTGAAGTGTGTTTCCTACAGGCAGCATATAGTTAAGTCTTGGTCTTTACCCACTATGACAACCTCTAATATTTAATTGGGTTACTTAACAACATTCCATTTTATGTGATTAAAGCTATCAACTGCTATGCGTTTTCCTTATTGTCTTTTCCCCTTTTTGCTTCCCTCCTTTAGACTAATTGTTTTCAATAATTCCATTTTATCTCCTTTGCTTTAGCTGTAGCTATTTATAGCTAAATAGCTATAAATCTATCTTCTTCCTTTGCTTTCTACTCAAAATTAGTACATGGAAACTGCTTGTACATTCTATTTAATCCTTATGCAAACCTGTCCTCCAACATCAGAATTATAATTCTAACTTGGAATTTTTTTTACTTAAGATATTGCCCTAATTGTAAAAAATAATCTCAGATTTGTAATCATAAAATAATTATAAATTCAGGATTATTAGACAAATGATAGAAAATGAAGGTGTAATTGATGAGAATCATTTCATTTGTTCATTCACTCATGAACCCACTGTTTTGATGATCCTTATAACAGTCCTATAAGACAGGAGAAACTACCTCAACCACTTCCACATAGACACCCATCAGCAAGACTGATGCGTTTCATTTCTTCTGCAAAACTTGCAGGCTTGTGGCCAGAATTTACCAAAAGAATATCAGAGAGTAGTTAATAAACTACTCCTGCCTCTACCAAATGAGTTTCATGATAATCAAGAAGTAATTGTGTACATATCCCTATCTGTTTTGCCAGTATTTTGCAGTAAATTATGAAATTTAATTTAAAATGATATATAGTCAAATAACAATAGTGTAAAAAGAAAACAGTTGTTATTTTTATGGAAATTAAGTTGAATGTTCTGGGAAGATGCTTGAGAACTAAAAAGAATTAGTAATAATTTAGATAAGGGCAAGACAACCATGAAAACTGGGAGGCCTTTCTATAACACGGACAAATTTTTACTCAAATTCACCCCCATCTGAAAATTATAGGCAATGAATTAAAGCCAGAAGATGATAAAAATTACAATCAGTGGGTTCCAAAGGGTCCTGGACCCTCACTGAAAGATTGATCAATAAATGAGTATTTAACTGTTGTATGTTATAATATAATAGAATCTTTAAGGTAAATATACATTTTTATGACTTTCTATGTTAATCAACTTTTTCTATTAACCAACAAACTACATGGCCCAAATGAGTTGGAAAAAAGTCTATTTCAATCCTCCTATTATAATGAGAAAAAAAAAGTGATTTGCTGGTTAAATAACAGTCTGTAAATTGTAAGGCCGATTACAGACTCATACTGTATATATCCATTCAGCTATTTTCTACTGGCAAACACGTTCCACTCACTGTGTGATTACTCAAATAAGACACAGGCCACTTCAGGAGGAACAGTGTATTTAACATCTGTCTTTACTCTCACTGTTATCATTTTTGAACCTTACCAAAAAGAAATTGTGAATAATAATAGAAATATCATTATTGAGCACGGCAAATCCATAACACTGTAGCGTTACAAGGCTGGACAGAAGGGAGAATAGATAGAAGACTACTGAAAGAATTTGGGTCGAGATGGCAGCTACATGCACTAGGAACTTGAATGTGCACTTTTGAAACATATGTGCTCATCATGTTCAGAGAATCCATGTACATAGGTTAATAAAGGTTAAAAAGGTAATTCTGGAATCAGACTGCCTGATTTGGGGTCCCGGTTCTACCAGTTACTAGCAGGTAATAGTGGATAATTTGTTTAACCTCTGTGATTCAGTCTCCTCATCTGTAAAATGAAGAATACGATTCCTACTCATAAACCTGTTTTGAAGCTAAAATAAAATAATCCACATGAAGAAAATCTGCCACATGATAGGAACACATTATTCTCTAGCTAATGTAATTGTCTAAAGTAAAGCCACAGGGACCAGCTGACAAGGACTCACATCCCAGTGCAATTACTCACCAGCTCTGTGACCTTAGGGAAAGTTACTTAATCTCTCTGGGCCTCAAATCCCTCATCAGTAAAACGTGTGTAATAAAAGATCCAACTCCACAAGATTTTGTGAAGATTCAGTAAAGTAATAAATGTAAAGTGCCTGAGACATAAATGGTTAATGTAATGCATTTTAACCACTGTTATTTTGTATATTATTGGCTTTAAGCTAGATTGAAAATTGCCCTTTCTGAGAGCATCCAGATACTTGTGACGGGCATGATCCCTTTGGCTCTATGCTTCTCACCCTGTAAAGTGAACAGGACCCAAGAAATTTATTTCAGTACCACTAGATCACCAGTGCCATCTAGTGGCACTGCTAACAAATTCGCCAAGTGAGCAATACTGTCCACAAAGGGGGAACATTTCTACAGATATAAATATAATTTTTTAAGATAGACTAAATCTAATGTAGCTATTTAGACATTTATAACATTTTATATAACTTTTTTTAATGTAGTACAAATTCAAGTGGGGGAAACTTCATAAACTGCAAACTCTAGGATTGATTGGCAAATACATTAGAAAGAAGTTTTTCTTTTTTGGCATGAGCCAAACAATTGGGTTTAAACTACTACCAAGATTTTCTGGACAGATTTGTGATGTTACTAAACCCCCGATATTTTATAGACCTTAGTTCCCTATAATATAAAATTAAGGTATTGTATGTGTTGAATTTCTAGCTCTAAAATTAAGTGATGAATTACTGTACCAGTTTTAACATGATGGATCTATATTATGATCTGTCAGAAGCATTTGTCTCTGGGGAAATCCTGATGACTTCTAAGATCCTTTCCAACTATGTGATTTTTAAAAATGCAGCCACAGTGGAATTAGAATTAGGTATATGAATTTTGAGTGTGATTTAATTGGCACAAAAGTTACAACACACTTAAGATATTAAGTTATATTGTTAGAGAAATTAAAATATTAATACCATATGAACGTCCCAGGCAGAGAATCACACACCTTTATTTTCTGTAGGTCAAAACTTACAGAGAAACGCAAAACTGCACAAAACTACCATAACCTATGCTATACCAGCAGTCTTTGCTTTGCTCAGTTAAAAATGCCAACATTTCAGAGCTCCAACTAGTTGATAAAACCAGCCCTCCAACACCATTCAAATGTCAGTTATTGTGGTATGTTAACTGTGTCGCATCAGAGCTTCAGGGTCTATGGTCCGTAACTCCCTGTGTAAAAGACAGACGCAGCATCACGAGCAGTGACAAACATGTCACTTCTTTCCAAGAGCATCAGTGATTTGTCACTGCATGTTGGTATTCCAGGCAAACACAGACAGCAAAGTGTATTGCTCCCATGTCTCCAGCTGATACATTCACATGACATTTTGCAAAAGTGGATAATCCACAGAGGGAATTAGCCTATAAAGAGGAAAGTGCAGCAAAAAGACAAGACTGACGATGGTGCTGGAACTGAAATGGCATGGGAGTGAATCTGAAAATGGTGACAGCCAAGCAAAGGCAGACAAAACCTAGGCCAGCATAAAGTGGAGGTAGGAATTATGCACATAAAAAACAAGCTAATGGCACTTCAGTAGGATTGTACTGAATGGAAGTGGATTGCACAAGAAACATCTGACTCTGGAATGTTGACACTGCGCCCTTTGAGCAACTGAGCTAGGCAGGCATAGGGTGTGAGAGAAGGGGAACTTATCAACATCAGTAAGGAAAGTTATTGTGACAAAAAGAATGACCCAGAGGAAGTGACACCAGCATAAAACTTCACTTTGAAGGAACTCAGAGACACTTCACAACTTTGAAAGGACAAAGAACAAAATGAAGCTGAACCAAACTTAGAAGTATGCCAGTTCTGGTCACCAAGACAGAAAAGATGCTTGCTCCATATTATGTTAAGATGCTTGCTCCATATCATTCTATATGATAAGAAGGCAAGTTCTGTTCAAACTCCTGTTGACAAGTTTTTTGGAAAGAAATGAAATACTTTAATTCTCAATGTCTTAGTATTTTAAATGACAGTGTATTGGATAAATATTAGTTTTGTTATTTATCCATTTCCTTATCCATTTATGAACCATGGTAAGGAAATTTATAATATTTAGAGAAAATATTTTTTAAAGACCAAAGAACAAGCACTATCTATTTTTGCCCTCGATTATCACTGCGCCCAATTTCAGCTTGCACGGTCATTTTTATGGCCTTGCAGGACTGAGTGAAGCAAGCACTGAGATAAAGACAGTGAAATTAAGAACAAACTGACAGTAACCAGAGCAGAGGTGGGAGGAGATAAGGGGGGGAAGGGGGAGATTCAGAAACATGTATAAAGGACACATGGATAAAACCAAAGTGGGTAGGATCAAGGGTGGGAAGTGGAGACAACTGTACTTAAACAACAATATAAAAATGTAAAAAAAATAATAGTAAAGCATTAGATACCTGGCAGTGGCAGCTGAACTAATATGCCACTGACTCGTGGGTCCAAGTTCAACTGATCAGTTATATCCAAAAGTTCTTCCTGAGAAACATCCTTGGGTTTTAGAATGACCTCACTGCAGATACCTAGAAGGAAACAAGCAGAGAAAGTCACCTGACTAACAAAGATGTGCTGTCGTTTCATTAATGGTGTCCCACTCGGTGTAATTGGTTTTCTCTGCTCCTGTCCCACAAGAAGGAAAGGTTCTTCTATAAAAATGATCTAAGCATCAGCAGAAGGGATTTCTCAATTAGTAACCGATGTTTTCTCCTGATTCACATGCATTCTTTAGCCCAGTATCCTGGGTGGCAAATTGCACTTATTTGTGATAAACTGTTGAAGGTACTATCAGTGCATCTGAATACGGTAAAGACACCAATAGCACCACCACCACTGCCAGGCCAAGTTCGACAGAGTGAACTGGCAGGATTTATTATCTGATTAAAGCAAGTCTAATAAAAACTGGATAATTTAAATGTACGTTTTTCTTCTCACATCTCACCGTAGCATCTGAAATCACACGAAATTGATTCAATAAGAAATTTAAAGAAGAAATGAAGATATACTTTGATAACTGAAAAATCACTCATCATAATACATGCTATTCAAATAACACTTATTTGACAATTATCGCTCATAATTCTTACGCTTTGCAGTAAAACCAGAACAAGTACATTATTAGTAACAAGTACATGAACACATCCCCACCTACAGCGGAGGCGGCTCGGACCTTCTTCCGGACATAGGTGTGGCTGGCCGGGTTGTCACCCACCAAAACGATACTGAGGTGAGGTCGCCTGTTCCCGAGGGAAACCCACGCCTCCACGCCCTGCTGTATTTCCTTCTGGATTTGTTTGGCCATTTTGGTTCCTGAGATAACAATGGCATCGTGTCTGTGGAAAACAAAAGAATAAATGCAGTACTAAAATGACAATAAGGAACATTCAACCACGTAAGTTTAAGATACAAGAGTGACTAAAATATCTATGATTCTCCGAGTATCCAAAATTTCATATTTTTCAAGTATGTCTGACACCCAATTCTTCAGGTTCATAAATATATTTATAATTTTGTGAAAGAGTCTAACTCTTCTTTTTAGATCTATATTATAATCTAGGAGATTATAATCTAGGAGATTATAATATAGATCTAAAAAGAAGAGTTAGACTCTTCTAGGGCTATAGTACACATTTCTTTTATAACTATTACATATATTTTTTTACTAAAACACACACTCAAGATCTGGACTATAGCCCTGGCTGGCGTAGCTCAGTGGATTGAGCACGGGCCTGTGAACCAGAGTATCTCGGTTCCATTCCCAGTCAGGGCACATGCCTGGGTTGCAGGCCAGTTCCCAGCAGGGGACGCATGAGAGGCAACCACACATTGATGTTTCTCTCCCACTCTTTCTCCTTCCTTCCCCTCTCTCGAAAAATAAATAAAGAAAATATTTTTAAAAAAAGATCTGGACTATAATATTGGCTCTATTAAAAGCTCTGCTCTTTTTTTCAGAAGTGACAAATCAGCAGAGTCTAGTGAAAATGGGCACCCACCTTCAGAGCCTCGTCCATGTTGAGTGTGACCCCACGGTCTTACAACCCTAAGACTAGTGTGTTAACTCTTAGTCACTTTGTCCTGAACACATAAGTCCCTGAAGCCATGAGCTCTGCACTTCAAAACTCTTTTAACTCATTTGAGGAGAAACTGCATTCCACAGCCTTAGGACAACTCTAGGACAACAGCTGCCAGTCTTGCCATGCTTATCACTGATTATTCTGGAAACCACACCAGTAAGCTGATGGTTCAGCTGTTACCCACGCCATTTGTAATGGAAAAAATTTGCATAGAATATTACTTCCTGGCAGTGTATATAAGTACTTAAGAAGGTAAAGAAATGCTATGCTTTGATAGATGACATAAATTTATCTCTGGAAAGGCACAAAGAAATGCATTATGGGAAGGTTTGCTGGCACATCACAATGTCAAACTTAAGAGTGTTGAATTAGGTTACTCGTACTGTGTGGTCATTTCTTAAAGGTACCTGACAAAGTGTAAGGCAGTTCCTTCTTCCTGCTGCCATGATTATTACACAAAATGCCAAATGCAGGTCAATGAATATTGTGAAGAAGAAGAAAAAGAGTGAGAAATAGAAGAAGAAAAGGAGGAATGGAATATCTTATAGCACTTTAATCTTTTGAACCTGTATACTTTTTATTGTCTAATGAATGTGGCGCCATGAATATCAGCCAATGCACAAAGTGCAAACTTGCTGCCTCCTCCAAGGAAGTCAGCTGCCTTCTCTAACAGGTTGGTGTACATACAGATACAACCAGATCCAGAATACTCCATTTCAGCAATCCACTGGGCTCATCCAAGTTCACACAATTTTTTTAAGTTCATACAATTTTGATGGAAACAATACTCTGCTAAGAAGTGATTCTGAAATGTGGTCTGTGGATAGACACATTAAAAGTGCCTGGGAAGCCTGCTGAACTTTCAGGTTCTTAGACCTCAAGACCACACCTACTATTCAGAATCCTCAGGGGGTAAAGCCTGGGAATCTGCATGCCTAGCAAGTTCCCACAGGTGTTCTTGTGCATGATTGTGTTTGAAAACCACTTCTTCAGTCCAACACAAAAGTACACCTTAATAGTAATTGTAACTCTGGATAAATAATTATCTGAGCAAAGAAACTGGTCAGACAATACAATTAAAATTAGACATTATAATTATAAGTAACCTATACTTAGAAGTATAGATTACTCTCATTGCTATAGAACCAACCTATAGGTGATTCTAATTTTGTTGACTTTTCACTGAAACATAATAGCTTTTAAGCATGAAAAGTTATGAAAAATTCAGTGTATCACTCTTGGTCCACCATCATAAATTTATAATAGCTTTATTGAAGTATAATTGACACACAATAAACTGCACACATCTAAAATGTACAGTTTGATGTCTCAGTGTATGTATGTACCTGGGAAGCCATCACCGTAATTCGGGAAATGAGCATATCCATCACCCCTAAAAGTTTGCTGGTGCCCCTTTATAATCTCACTCTTGCACAGGTCCCTGCCAGGCACGCCCTCCACCACCAGGCAACCATTGATCTGCTTTCTGTCACTATGCGTTAGTCTGTATCATCATGAATTTTGTAAAAATAAAATTATGTACCACATGCTCCTTTATCTCTAGCTACTTTCACTCAGCATAATTAAGACTCATGAATGTTCTTGCACACATCAATAGTTTGTTTTTTTATGGCTGAGTTGTTTTCCATTATATAGAAATAATAAAATGTGTTCATCTGTTCAATTGCTGATGGATATTTGGGTTGTTTCCAGTTTGTGGTCATGACAAATAAAGCTGTTAGAAACATTCACGTACAACTCATTGTATACACGTATGCTTTCACTCCTCTTGAACAAATACCTGGAGTAGAATGGTTGAAACATATGGTAGGTATATGTTTAAATCTGTAGGAAACTGTCAGCCTGTTTACCAAAGTGGTCGTACCATTTTACACTTCTACAAGCAGCATATGAGAGTTCCAGTCCCCCCCACACCTGCAATCACTGGACGTGGTCTGTTGTTTACATTTTAGTCAGATTGGTGTCTATTTGGTGGTATCTCATTGTGCTTCTAATTTGCATTCCCATAGTGAATAATAATGTTAAACATCTTTCCATTTGCTTATTTACCATCTGCCTATCCTCTTTGTTGAACTGTGTAATATAGATTTTTGCCCATTGTTTAATAGGTTGTTTCCTCATTATAGAGGTTTTGAGAGTTCTTCATATATCCTAGATTGCAGTCCTGTGTCAAGATATGTGATTTGAAATATCTTCTGAGTCTGTGCTTTGCCTTTTCATTCTTTTAGTTGTGTCTTTGGAATGTCAGTTCTGAATTTTGCTGTACTTGACAAAATCTTCTTTTTATGGATCATGCTTTTGTTCTTGGGCAAAGGAATCTTTGCCTAATTCAGGCTCAGAAAGATTTTCTCTAGTGTTTCCTTCTAGAAAGTGTTATGGGTTTAGGTTATACATTTATTTCTATGATTCAGTTTGAATCATAGGAATGAGACTCTATTCCTAGTTTGATGAAGGAATATTGTCTAATGGTTTTTCTGCATTTATTGAGATGATCATCTATGATCCTATGGGTTTTTGGATTTGGTCCATTAATAGGGTCAATTAATTGATTGATTTTCACATGTTAAACCAACCTTGCATTCCTGAGATAAACTTAACTTGGTCTTAATGTACCTAACCTTTCCAGGTATTGTAAATTTCAGCTAAAAGTTTGTTAATTTGTTGCATCTATGTGCGTGAGAGGTATCTGTCAGTAGTTTTATTTCCTTGGAATGTCTTTGTACGGTGTTTATATTAGGGTTAATGGTGCCCTCATAGAATGAGTGAGGAAGTATTCTATCCTCTTCAAATTTCCAGAAGCGTTTCTGTGGGATTGGTATCCCTGAAGTGTTTGGTAGAACTCCCTAAGAAAACATCTGATCTTTGAGATTTCTTTGTGGGAAGAACCTACAAAGACTAAAATTAAAAATTGGTAAAACTACAAATTTAAACTTTTTAATAATAGAGGGCTATTGAGGTTATCCATTTTCCTTGAGTTTTTATAGTTTGTGCCTTTGTACATTCTAACATTTAGTACATAATTACAATGATAAATTAAATCACATTAAGATAAAATACACTTACTTTTGAGTTTAAATTTTATTTGTCAAGATTAAGTAACAAATACTTTCCACTATTTCCTATGAATTTCTGGTACTTATTTTTATAATTAATATAAGTGGCTTTTTAATACTAAGGGAACAAGGACCTCCTATATTAGCAAATACTAAAGGCTGCAGCTACAGCAACTAATTCCAGTATGGTTCATTTCTAAAAATAGTAAAAAATAAATACTTTCCATAAACTAAATTGTGTCAGTAATATTCAGTTAGAGTAAAATACTCTATTATAGAAGCAGGCTTATATGCTAACATACTGAAATTCACTCTTATAGTAAAGAACATTTTGGGCTGGCCAAAAGTGGTGTTTTGTTTTGTTTTTTCCGTAACATGGCTCCAGGAGTGCTTAGTTGTCTTCAACTTCATCTGAAACAATATCGATAAGTTATACTGTGACAGTGGTCATATCTTGTGCATTTAAAAACTTAACAAGATTGAATTTTTGTGTAGTCACTTTAATATTAAAGATGGAAGAAAATATGCAACATTTAGCATATTATGGTTTATAATTTCAAGAAAGGTAAAAATACAACTGAAATGCAAAAAAATATATTTGTGCATTGTATGGAGGTATTATGTCAAAAAAAAGGCTTTGTGTCAGTATATGGAACGTGTCAAAGTGGTTTTCGAAGTTTCGTGCTGGAGATTTCTCACTGGATGATGCTCCACAGTCAGGTGGACCAGCTGAAGTTGATAGCGATCAAATCCAGACATTAACTGAGAACGATCAGTGTTATACCAAGCAGGAGATAGCTGACATACTCAAAGTGTACAATTCAATAAAGTTATTGGTACAAATAAAAAATGCCTTTTATTTTACAGAAAAAACTTAATGAACTTCTTGGCAACGTAATACATTTACGTTTTAAAACACAAAACCACCTATGCACTCTAAAGCATATGAATAGCAATGCTACTGCTGAATTAGTTGATTCTCTGTTCAACAGATTAATCTGTTCACAAACTGTTGTGAAACAAACCATCTCTGAAAATAATCCAGGATAATTATGGCCTAGACACTTCCAAGCTGTGTGTCCCTGAGAATGTCAGAGACGACAATGGCATAAACTGATTCCTGGCTTACAAAGAGACAGTGTGCAGATTAAATCTGACTGCACTCTGTATGTTGGGGTCTGAGAG